AATAAGTGGTATTTATGAAAACGTGAATGGATCCCCAGAGAGGATCCCCTGTTCTCTGAGGGGGATGATGATGATGGAGGATTAGTCATCTTTTCTATAGATGTATCAATGTTTGAATATCCCCAAATATCTTGCATGTTTAGTTAATAGCATTGAAAAATGGCACAGGAGACATTTAGAAATCTATCAAATAGCAAAGTAAAAATAAACATTTTAGTTCAATTTCTCCCAGTTGCATTCACACAGATGTCTAGTTGACTCTAACAATATTGTAGACGTTACACACATGCTGAAGTCGGTAATGAAGGCTGTCTTAGGGAGCTCAACATCAAAGACGACTTCTTTGTGCGCGTTTCCACGATTGATAGCTTGACTGGTGATGACATTGTGGGCAAATCGGGAAGTTACTTTACTATCAATTTTCATGCTATAGAGTTCTATATCATTGACAACCTGTAGATTGAGAAATGACAAAAGACTGTTACACTGCTGTCTTAGAGTTAGCCATAATTATATTCTTAAAAAGAAATCACTGTAGGGCATTCTGTCATTCCAGCGCATAAGAGCAAAGAACGAACCATGTTCCTAAGAACTGGGGCCCAGCTGCGTTTCCTTGGATATCTGCAATAGTTCCGTTATGGTGCTACTCCAGGAATCACAACTATAGCTGCTTTAACAAAACGTTACCACCAGAGGAGCCGCATTGCTGTTGTAAGAATTGTTTTTCTCTTTACTGAGACTGACTGTCGTTTATGGCTAGTCAAAAGAGAGACAGCGTGCAACAACGTACAGCTGCCCTGGTATATTAGTGACTGCTATTACCAGCTGAGTAGGTGACTCTGGGAGCCGAGAATCATCTTGTTACAAAGGGACCTAAGCAATTCCAGATGGACTCCAAATTCTGTTTTATTTTCAGTTTTCTCCTGGTCAGCTGATGACTGGGGCTCGTTCTCCTTAAGCAAGGAAGTGGGTAGGGCAATACTTAAATTTTCTTTGAATGCTCAGGTGCTGCAGGGTCTCTGGAGACTATATAAAAGCATAGGTAACAACAGATAGGACTCCTCAGGCAGCTCCGTAGCAACAAGGTTTGCTGCTTGCAGCAAAACCAGCGTTTGAAGGAAGGTTGTGATTTTTATGCTAGACCTGATCTCAGGCTGGTTGATTAAGTAGGTCCCCACGCCATCAAAGCAGTTAAGCGTTGCTGAAGTGGAGTCCAGATGCCAAGCAGAAGCAGTCTCAGAGATCAGGTTTCACGCCTTCCTTGGAAATAATTAAAACAACATGAAGTGGATTTCTGTTAGAGATATAGAGGTGGCTTCAAACAGTTCTGTTATTTATTAAACTTTTCCATGTGGTTAAAAATCATTTGTTCTCTTTCCCTCTGCAGGATTTTCCATCAGAGCTTGGAACAGAACAGTCTAGTTAGTCCTGCTGCCTAAAGCAGGCAACTCTGGGCTACTCCCTTTGTCACCCGTACTCAGAAATACCAGTTTGCTCAGACTGGGCTCACAGTAACATGCTGTAAACACTATAAGAATATTCTTCTTGCTATTACTTGAACCTTTGACAGTAGCCTGAGCAAAACCAAGCTTTCATGAAAAGGAAGACTACTCACCAGGTCATTATCAGCACTTCGCTTCTGCAAAAGAGAAAAAATAAAAAGGCTCATGACTAAGGCAGGAAAGCTGCATTTAGAAAGAGATTACTTAGCACCTATGCAGTTGTTTCTGGCTTCCAAGTCAAAAAAAATTTTCCAAGAGGAAGTAGGCTTGAGAAAGGTGCCTTATTAGTAAATTGAACTTGATTCATCCTTTTGTCATTGCAACATGCTACATGCAATTTGGAAGGTGTAAAAATTGGGTCTGGTTTCAGATGAAGATTTAGCAGAAGTTAGCTTGAGGGAGGAGCAAGTAAGGCATTCAGGGCGGGTGTAATTATTTTGCTTATAGTATTGCCAGCCCTGGTGGACTTTTGGATGTGATTTGATATTAGTGCACCTAAAACACGGTGGGTTTGAAAGCTATGTTAAATTGTGAACATGGCTGATTTTGTATTTCACCCAAGTGTCACTTAAGAAGTCTTCTCCTTTCAGCTGAAAAATAATTACGGGCAGCCTGAGAAATGAGGTAGGTGGGGGGAAAGGCTTGAATGCACAGTGTCATTTTATATTTAAATGTCACTGAGACTAAAGAACACACTAAAAACTGCTTAATATTATTTCCTTGAGGATGGTTTGGCTGCATGCTGCCATCTTAAGTAAAAACTGAACGTCTTTTAAGTCCTGACGGTGACGTTTTGTCCTTGAGAATTCCTGATTTCAGGTTCCTTGGGATATTTTTTTTTATCTTTTCAAACAAACTAGGTCGTCTTTGGAAAAAAGGGGATTTATATCAGAGAGAACTGCAAGACCTGCGTGTGTGTGTATTTGCTCCCAGAGTGGATGCAAATAACAGCCCTACAAAATACTACATAAGAGTCTTACGTTAAAATAGTGGTTTGCATAAGCTAGGGAAAACCTGCTGTTTCATAGTGAATTCCTGTAAGTTCAACAGCACACTCCTTATCTCTTTTGGCTTCAAGAGCCTCGTGGATTACATTTTGCGCAAAGTTGGCTTTTCATGTTTACATGGCCCACCAAACAGAGGAGCAAATACACAGAGGTATCCAATCAGATATACCTCTCAGGTACATTTAAGGCTTCTGTTACCATGGTGGCCTTTCACAGTTAGGAGCTGTACAAGTGGGAAACCGAGGCCCGGAGGGCTTTGTTTTGTTTGTTTTTCTCAAGATACTACAGAAAATCTTTGGTAGTGCCAGGATTTGGGCAAGGCTTCTCAGGTTCTGTGTGTCTTTCTGGCCAAAAAGTCTCTGTGTACTTTACCTCTAGACTTACGTTTCAGACTGTTCTCTCCCTGCTGATGATTTCTGTGCGTACCTTGCTGCTGTTTCACAAACCTATGTGGGTTTTTTCCTTGTCTTCGTAGAGTACCTCCCTTCCAAATTCTTCCTTTCCAAAGCTGAAATTTCTCCTTTCTCTGTAGCTCTAGCCTTTTTGTTTCTCCTCTCTCGTTATAAACCCGTCCTGCCTCTTAGTGGAGGTGACTGGAAAACTCATCTCTGAGCTCTTGAGGGTGCCTTGACATGGTCGGTCCTGGTAAAGCTGCTACACACTGCATGGAATAACCATACTTCCACTTGGCAGAAACAGGGCAGGAGAGAAAACGCAAGACTAAACAAAGGAGCTAATTATGTCCACAATGTAGCTGTAGCTGAGGACAGTGCATTCAAGACGTTTTTATGACACTGGCCCTCATAAGCGTTTTTTTTTTTTTTTATTTTAGAACAGAATCAATCCCCATTTTTCTACACTTTTTTCCCCTCCGTGCTTGGTTCAAATGAATAGCTCCCGTTTCAGCTTTCTGAACACCAAAGCAAGCCCTGGAGTTGTAGTCATAATGTTATAACAACACTCATGAGGCAAGATTTGCGGAGCGAAGTGATGCCTTTTATTAGATCAACAGATAGATCTTTTATTAGACTGATAGTCCCTTCCTTCCCCCCCCCCCCGACTGTATCTGTCAGTCTAATGAAAGATATTTTCTTTCTCTTACAAACTGGGTCTCTTAAAAACTGCATCTCCAAAGAAGATACATCTGTGTTGTCTTTACAGTTAATGATTTTTCCCTTGTAGAACACAAACTCTGGTGTGGATCCTGGGAAATGAAAAGCCACAATTCTCGGGAATGTCAGTTTGTTTTGTACAAGCTCTTCCTTCCTTCAAGTGGACTTAAAAGCTGGTTCAGACCATAAAACGCTAAACAAAAGATCTGTTCTTTAGTTAAAATACAGATACATTCTGCAATTCTCACTACCGTCTCCTAAGTTAAAAGATAGCTGTGCTTAATTTTTACAGGAATGACCCGTTGTGCATGTCCTGTATCCGAACTGTGGGTTCATAGTAGTTCTGAAAGAGTTTTGGTCTAGCTGTGTAACTATTTTGAGGGGTACTCTGCCACTCTCTTTGAAAAAGACGATATAGAAGGATCTTTTAGTGAAAGCTATTAGTGCTTTTGTACTTGAGCTGATTCTTTACATTCTTAATGATTCTCCTTGGGTGTAGACAGAGCCTTCGCTAACATGATGGTCATTTTAACCTATGTGGGCAGAAAGTGAGTGTCCCATGAAAGGCAGTGCTTACTGATTATGAAAAATACACTTTCTGCAATTCTAGAACAAATTGAGATTTTAATATCCGGTAAGTTGTGTAATTACAGTTCCTTAATAAAATATTTCTGTAGTATTTCCACATATTTACTAGGGTACCAGCTATTAGAGTGTTTTTTTTTCAGTTTATAGCAGTGACATATTCTGCCTTTGTTTAATATTGTCTTGTTGTGGCACCTGCAAAGAGCATGGGTGCAAACAATATATAGAAATTGGAGAGAAAAGTAGAGGGGGAAAAAAATAAATTTGAGCTCCTAAGAAAATAGGGAAGGGAGAGAGGGCTCTGAGTACATTACTTGCTGAAGTCCTGATTTTACCATTTGGGAAAACAAAACCCAGCATGACTAAAAAAAAATTGGCCAAGATTGAACAGTTAACTTGTAGTGACCTCCAGGAATTCACTACACTGAATGAGATACTTGCGTAAGTCCCTATGGACGTGGGAAAAAAAATGCGTTCCAAATTGACAGCAACATTTCAGAGCCCATTATCCCAAGCGATGCTAAGTGGAAATCCCAGAGGAGAGACCACAACGCAATTAAGCTGTGAAAACTAAACTTCCTTGTGACCTATGGAGGAGTTTCTGCACTGTCGGAGTGAGAGGGTCGTATAAGGAAGGTTGTATCATTGCTACCCGTGCTTTGAATAAGTAGTCCTAGTGGTAGTTTTTAATCTGGTAATCTGGGGGGGGGAGGGGGGGATCCCACCCTTATTCATTGTGTGCACAGGAACAAGACATGCAAGTGGACTTAAAGCATTTCAATTTGGATTTTCAGTGAATTTTCAGCACACTTGGATCTGCCAGTTGTGTCTGTCTGCCTCTGACCGTAAAAGCAGCATTGACCGCATAAAGATCAGCAGCTGTGTACTAGACAGTTCCAGCCATACTTTTATCGCTCACCGCTTCATCTCTGACGTATCAACCTGTTCAAAGGAGCTAAAATAGGGATTGGCACTGAGGATGACTTCACACTACGTAGCAATCTCCTCCATTTCAACAAAATTACATTTGCGTAAAATATGTGACATAACTGGGAGAAGAATCGACCTTCTTTCTGTAGTGTTTTGCATGTAGCAGTGGAATATAGCACAGAGCTCAGCCTATTTTCCATTTAGAAAGGCTTTAGCATTAGAAGAAATACAGAGACCAACAGATAGTATGGTAATCGGGAGGAAAAAGCTACCGCATTATATCTGGGCTACATAACGATTAAACAAACAACAAGTATCCGTGGCATTTCTAATTTGCAGCTATAAGTCTCAAGCTGATTTCAGAAAGAGAAGTTATTATCCCGACTCCCAAAGAACTGTCTGGTGCCTTACTTCCCTTAAAAGACTTGGCAAAGACCATAACCTAATCAACACCAGTTGACTGCGAATCACTTGGTCCTGTTCTGTCTGCTGACCTTCAGTGCTCCCTAAAGAGATTTGCCTCTGTAGCTCTTCATGGGATGTAGTTATATTGCAGTGAGGAATAGTAGCCGCTAACGTAACAGAATAGAGCTAGGCAGAAAATCAGTAAGCACTGCCTTACTCAGAGATCTAGTCAAAAATAGCATGGTGCCTTCTAGGTAAAGAGATATATTCCATGTTACGCTATCGCCTAAAACTTGGGAGAAAATTCCTACCGTGTGATGTGGATAGCGGACAGGTTCGTCTGCATGCCGTTTTACATCTCTGCTTTCGGCGTTTTGGAGGCATCTTTCCATGGATATTTTGTACTGCTTTACAGGTGCTCTAGTCAGTTCTAGAGCAGCACCTATTGTTTTAGATGGCTAAAATATTTGCCGCTACATTTAGGTGATGATGACAGGGGAGAGTGATGCCTTTAAACAGACAAATAGGAGATCTTCCTTAAAGTTGATTCAAAACTGAGGCTGTTGATAGGAAAAGGGCTGAAGCATCGAGTCCTAGGTCTGATCTCGTCTTTGCCGACACCAGCAAACACGAAGCTCCCCGTGACAGCACTGTATGAGCTCTCTGACAGCTGATAAACCGCAGGAGGTAAATCTATGAAGAATGGGAGCCCCACATGCGGGCGATTGCTTACCTTGATGTTTCTGATATGTGCTATCAAAAAGTCTGATGATCCAAAGGCGGGAATCAATAACAACATACAAAGCAATAGATGGTTTTCCATTTTGGAACAAAATAAGCTAATCTGAAGCATACAGGCAAATAAATAACACTTTGTTTACAGAGTGTTAATAAATAACCAAACATGAAAAGTGGGGTTAAGTATGCAGCATGAGGGGGAAAAAATCAAATACTGCATTTTGAATTTGTAACGTCTGTGGAGTGCTGTTCCAGAAAATTTGCAGAATGGTACAAAATACTTCAGCCCTGTCCCTGCTGCATAATGTCACTCCCCAACAACGACCCAGCAGCCATTTCTGTACAGGTGGCCGAGAAGGATGTTTCTTCTCCAGGCTCACCTCTTTTCCAAACTGAAGCTGTTGTCTTTCTGATACCTTCTTTAAGGCGGTCCAGAGCTTTTGGGCCTGCCTGCATGCTAACCGGGAGCTGCTTTTTTTCTTCCTTTGCTGAACGACAGCATTGTGTGTTTCTCGTGGCTTTGGGGTGTTTTGTTTTTCCTGCCCAGTCGGCTTTTTTTAGGCGCGCAGCCATGAGAAGAACGCACGAAGAGAGGACAAAAAGCTGCCTTTAAACCAGCTCGGAGCTTATTGAACTCGTTCCCTCCCGCGTCCAGAGGACCGTCGGGCACGGGGTGCGCTCGAGGGGGCTGC